TTAATTAAGAGAATGAGCAAGTCCAGGCTCCTCCCTATTTTCTTCCTAGCAAAATGTTAGCCTGAAGGAGGGAAGAGGACTAGGGGAGAAGGTTGGAGGCAAAACAGAGGTGAGGCTGTTAGAATACACAAGGCATCTGGGAACCGAAGCTAAAGATGCTAGCAGATATGATGGGGAGAGAATGTGCAGGCAGACAAGAGGAAGGTTGGAGTCTGGTACCCTGGGACTGGTAAACCATTCCTGAATTTACAAATAGTTCACTCTCAAGAGAGAAGAACCAGGTTGGCATTCTGTCCTTCCTCCCAGTTTCCCGGGTTCTAATTCTCTGCCCCCTCCCGATTCATGCTACACTGCTCCCAGTAGCTGGACAGACCTGGCTGTGGTTCTGCTGTCCACCAAAGGGTGAGGGCTGGAGGGGTCAGAGATGCTGCAAGAGGTTCGAGGAGCTGAGGGCAGGTCTGAAGGGACCCTTCGTCCTAAGCTAAAATGGCACATGTCTCCCTCCACTTCCTCCGGAAACATGGATGCCCCTTCTTCCTCCAGCTCGGAAGCCTCTGCTGAGACCCCGATAAGGGAGTTGAGTCATGCCTCCTCTCACTCCCAGGCTGGTCCTGAGTGGATGCCTGTACAGCTCTGAGAGGGTGAGGGGAGGCAAGGCAATAGATCAGGACCCAGGGCAGAGCAGAGGGGCGGATGGAAAAGAACAGGGCACAGGCAGGATGAATAGAAGTCTCCTGGTCCTGCTCTGGCCTGCAAACTCTACTCCCCTGGCCCTCCAGTTTTATGGAAGAGCAACAACCACCCCTCTCCCAGGTCCTCCTCCCTGGGAGCTCCTCCTCCCTCAATACATTCCTGAGATGCATTCCAGAAGAGTTGGGCAATTGGGGAGGGGAGGGAATGGAGGACAGGAGGTCAAATCCTAGCAAGGAATGGAATGTAAGAGTACTAGGGTTAAGAAATTCGGGGTACAAAGAAAACACAGAGCAGACACCCACAGAGGGAACCGTAGAAAGATAGGGAGGTACAGAGAGGGCACAAAGCTGGGGAGAAAGCGGGAGAGCAGATAGTCAGAATGGAAGAGGGTTGGGGGAGTAACACTCAGTGTGTTACCAAATTTGGCCTCTCAGTCCCTAACCGCTGCCGGGAGGGGGAGGGTTTGTGGCTAAGACTGACATATCCGGCCTCAGGCTGCTGGAAGCTCCTTTGGGGGCTGGATTGGGCAGCTGGGGGTCAAGATCTCACTTTCCCCTCCGTACAGTCCCTCCACATCTCCACATGCCTGCTCAATCTCCCAATGCACCCCAGTCTCTGCACAGAGCTCCCTGACACAAAGCACCCTGCCCTGTCTTGCAACCAGGTTATCTCCACACAACCCCTACACACACTGGGACCCCATTCTGAGCAGGCAGCTCCCCCACAGCCATTCTCCCCCCCATTCATCCCAAAGCACTTGCTCTGCTCCTTTAGGGTCTGTTGTAGGAAGGACCCTAGGCCAAAGTTTCAGTGGCTGCAACAGAGATGAGTAAGCACTGGCCTTCACTTCCAAGGGGCTCCCAGTTTAGAAGATGAGTGGAGAAGCTAAATAGGGAATTACAGCAGACAGCAGGATGTGATAAGAACCAAAGGGGCATGCTGGGAACAGAGATCCCTTTAGGTTAGGAAAGATGGACCAGACGGCCTCCATGAAAGGTGCTGTTTGAAGTTAGGATTAAAAAAAGAGAAAAAAACAAGGGCAATCATGTACTGGTTATATGTTAACTGTAGTGTATACATAATTTCATTGAATCCTTACAACAACCCTACAACGTGGGCGTCCCTAATTCCAGCTTTACAAATTTAGGAAACCATGGCTCAAAGAAGGTAAATACTTGTTTGGAGTCCTTGTCTAAGTAAATTGTGAAGTGGGGATCCAAACCCAGGTCTTTCTGACTCCAAAACTCAAGCTCTCTCCATAACGCCAATTGGAGATGAGTCAGAGGGAGCAATGCCCCAGGCAGGCAGAATAACATTAAGCACAAGAGAAGCAGGACATCAGGAGGGACCTCAGGGGAGTGAGAAGGCAGCCCGGGTGGGAAAGGCAGGGACGGACTACACAGGAACAGGAGGGACTGGATCTATGGAACTGGTGGGGACAGAAGGGCAACAGGAGACTCTGGGCAACAGAGGAACATATCAGAATTAGATTCTGGGAGAATAATTTGCAATTACTTTGGATACAGGTTAATACCAGTAAGAAGAAACGTGGTAGTTAAAACTCTCGGGAGCAATTTTAGAAGGCAGAATCAGCAGGACCTGTTGATGGCCTGTCCTTGTCCACCCTCAGAGCCCAAAACCCAGTGGAGGTCCCATAGCTTCCGCTCACCAGGAGCCCCTTAGCAGTCAGAGCAGCTTAAGTTTGGGAAGGGAGAAAGGATCTGGTCAGGCTGATCCTGGGACTAGGAGGATGTGGCTGTGAGAAAAAGGAGATGGGTAGATAAATGATCAGCACACTGAGTAAAGAAAGAGGCGTGATTGGTGACTGCATTAGGTGGGAATGGGGAAGATAGTGCAGGAAAAGGCTGGGGACGACAGTGGTAGGAAAAATGCATACGTGACCAGTCACTGCATCAGGCTGCAAGTAGGGGAAGGGAAGAGATGATTATATGGGTAGTGGCTAAGTCAGAGAATGATGGGGAGAGGTCAGAGGTGAGGGTAGGCTCCTGAGGGGTGAGAGGAACGGGGTTGTGGTCAGTGGCTATGTAACACTGAGGTGTGGGAAAGTGCAGGACACTGCCAGTGTCCAAGGAAAGCTGGAGCTGGCGCAGAAGGGGGCAGTGGTTGGGTTGGACTGCTTAGGGGGCAGTGCTGTGGTCAGTGGCAGGGTCAGGCCAGGAGTGAAATGGGGGTGTGGTTAGTGGCCTGGCTAAGCATGGGATCAGCAAGACCCAGTTTCCTCTTTGGGTCTCATTTCCTCTTTTTCTGAGGGGAGTGGGGGAAGGGGACCTTCAACTGGACCAAGAAATTAAAGGAGGCCCCGAACCAGAAACTGGCACATGGAAGAAGCTGGGATTGCCAGGTGGCATGAGTGGGTGAAAATGCAGCTTTAAGATCCTGGGAAAGCTTGGATGTGGGCAAGGGCATATTAAAACAGGCTGTGTGGATTAAAGAGCAGGGAGGGAGGCAGAATTGCAGACGGGAATGGAAGGCCACAGAAGTGTTCTCCAAAGGTGGGAGGGATGCAGGAAGGTAGAGCCAAGGATGAGAGCTGGAGAGGAGGGTTTCATACCTAGGGCAGGAGGGGCGTGGGAGACAGCGGCACTCAACCTAGGGGGATTCATTCAGAGCCAGCTCCCACACAACACAGATTCTCCCTGCTCACTGCTGTCCTCCCTGCATGGTCCCCCAACCCAGGACTGAGCCTTGCACATACTCTTGGCACCCTTCCACTACCCACCTACCACCTCCTCAACAACAACCCGAGTCTCACCATGACTGCGGTGACCAGCATGTCATGCTCGGAGAATGAAGGCACTGAACGCCGTGCAGTCCTAACCCCTGTCCAGAACTCTAACCTGAAGTTTGTCAGCTCCCAGGGTTAGAAAAGCCCCTGCTGACCAACAGAGATATAGGGACCCTGGTCCCAACACACCCATGCAAAACCAAGGCATCTACCTATTACCAAACTCATAAACGTTACCTGCCCAAGGTCAATGATCCCGACCTAAATCTGCCCTTAACCTCCTCATCCGTTTCTTCCTTCTGGGCACTGGCTTTAGTGTTCATCCCTTGCCTCAGTATCCAGTCCCTGACCCCCTACTACTCATCTAACTTCTACCTTTAGCATTAGATCTCCAACTTCAACCCAAAATGTGGCCCTCCTAAACCAAAATTAGCTCTCAGGGAAATGGAGGCCTAACCTGTTTTTTGACTGTTTATCCTTCACACTGACCATGACCACATTCTTTGATCCCTAACACGGACTTCTAACTCAATTCCTGTTGTTGACCATTAACCTGATGCCCAATTCTTTTAACTCTTAAACTGGTCAACCCACAAAATAATGACCCTCACCTAATCAAACGTCACCTGTACAAAACGAGCAATTCCACTCACACCCATCACTTGGGTTTGAATCCCGGCTTTATATACCTAAAAACGATTCTTTGATTCCTAAACCTATACCGCGCTTAAACCCAAACTCACCCGGCGGCTTTCCTGCCCACATCCCCGCTATCAGCCGACACCAAATGCCCATACCCGCCCTGCGGCCTTTCGGTGCCACCCCACTCCTTGCCCTCCCCCAAACCCTCCTGCAAGCAGAGGGCCGCTCCCCACCTCCCGCAGGACGACCAGCCGAGGCACACCGGACGCTGACCCCTCCGGCTGACACGCCCGTCCGCCTCCCGGGGGTCCCATCCCGCCCCGAGGCTCCAGCTCGGCCCCGCCGCGGCCTACCTGCGCTGCCCGGCTCGGTGCCCCGCCGCGGGCCCGCTCCCCAGCTCCTGCTCCGGGGCGCGCGGAGAGCTCTCCGGCCTCGCCCTCCTTTCGAGACTCTCGGCCACTTCCGTCGGCGGAGCGTCCCCTACCCGCGGGCGGCGCCCTGGGCCCGCGCTCTATGGTTCGGGGGGGCCTGCAGGAAGCTGCTCTGGCCCCAGCTCTCGATGCTCGCGGGGGCCAGCCGAAGACTTGGCACGGCTCCTCGCCGGGCAGGAAGCGAGGGTGCGGCGCGATCCGGAGCAAACGCCCCAATTGTGCCCGAGATCCCTGTTAGAGTCCTCACTCTTCCTTTTTCTAGCTCGAGGCGAAGGCGGAGGCGGATCTGCGCCGTCCCCGCCCCCGCGGGGCAGGGTTGCGGCGACGGCGATGGAGGGAAACGCCTTTTTCGTTTGCATAGCCCCCGGGACGTGGCGCGTCGCCTCAGCCACTTCCGCCTAGGAGGAAAGAACTACACGTCCCGACAGGCCACGGGGCTGCGTGCGTCACTCGGGTTGTGCTGGAGGCTGAAGGGGAATTGAGACTGGGCGGTGGGTGGGTGGGACCGGCTGGACAGCTACGGCCGCCGCCGCAGGGAAGCCGGACAGCAGAGGGGCGGCAGCGGACAGGTGGGAGGGCCTGTCCTCCCTGGCAGATGAGAGGGCCTGTCCTCCCTTGGCAGGTGAGGGGCCTGTCCTCCCTTGGCATGGTGAGCTCTAGTGTTTCGGCCCGTCTTTCCCGTAGATGGCCCAGATGGAGCTGGCGTTGGACCCCGGCGAGCAGGACCTGCTGGGCTTCCTGCTGGAACAGAGCGGAGATTTGGGGGAGACGGTCGAGGAGGAGTTGGCGGTGGCTCCCCTGGACTGGGAGCTGTCTGAGGTGGGTGGGGTTCCGAGCGGAGCTAAGGGCGGGCGTTCAGCGAGGCCCCAGGGCTGGTGATGGTGGTGACATGGGAACCCGCTGCAGGTGCTGAGCGACTGGGAAGCCAAGGATTTGCTGGACGCCCTGCTGAGTCCGCCCGCGACGCTCAGCTCGTGCCAGTCCTCGCCGGTGCTCCACGACCACACCTACTCACTCCCACAGGACTATGTCTCGGTGGAAGTAGGTGAGTGGAGTCAGTCCGGAGCGGGTGGAGAGGGTCCACGTGCCTGGCTGTTCACCCGTGCCCTCCTGCAGACAGTGGGAGCTGTGGTCAGGAGGAGACGCCCCCGCTATGTGCCGAGGAGCCCGCAGAGCAGGTACTGGGCCTGATTAACGGGGTACGGTGGGATTATTGCCACATTTTCCCCCATTTCCGTGAGATGTTCCTCACAGAACTGCTGCGGGCTTCCCCCCAACTTCAGGAAGTGGCTACGCTGATGCTGACTGAGGAGGAGCGGCGGCTCTTGGAGAAGGAGGGGCTTACCCTGCCTGAAACTCTCCCCCTCACTAAGGTAAGGAGCCAGGACTGGGGGGAGGTGGGCGCGGGGTGGGGAAGGGGCTCGTGAGTCACACTTTGGTCAAAAACGAAAGAATCGGGGAAGGGTGTCCGGGAGGGAGAGTGCAAAGCCAGTGGTTGCCTGGTAGAGCAGTGGGATGGGAGGATTGACTTGTAAAGGTTGTGTTTGACAATTAGTTGCATTTCAAATGGCTAGCAGAGAGGATCCCAAATGTGTCTCTTACAAAGATGTGACAACTCTGTTACCCTGATGTTTATACATAGTATACATTGCTGAATGTCACACTGTGCCCCCAGAAGTGTGTAGTTACTGTGTCAAAAATAAGATACACTGGAGAGGAGGTGGGTGAGACTTGTAGCAAATGTGTTGGGGTGAGGTTAATGGGCTAGAAGCAGGGGTGGATCCTGGTTGTGTGAGCTAGGACATATTTTTGTATTCTCTTGATAAAAAAAAAAAAAAAGCTGCAGAATTACCAGTGCTGCGTTAGGATAGGGTGGTGGGAAGGGCCATGCAAGCACTCTGACAGGTAAACCCCATGACCTTCTGGTCTTGCTGAATGAAAAAAATTGTCCTACAGAGCTCAACAGAGCTGAGCTAAGCCTCCTGACAAGTGTCACTGTGAAATGAGAAGTTGCAAACTTCTAACCAGGAGTGGCACTACTGTAATGAAATCAGTGTTTGTTAACAGAAGAATGGAGGGAATGTCAACTTGTTAGAAGTACAAGTTCAGTCAGTGGTGTGGATAGGACAAGTATGGAAGGAAATGACATGTGGTCTCTGGGAGGCCAAGACCATCTGATGTTAACCAACATACCACTTAGTGTCCGGGCTCTGGACACACACCAAGAGGATGCAATGGGCTTGAGAAAGTGTTTAGTTTGTCCAGGTCTTTCTCTTTTTTAAACTCTGAGGAAATGCCAAGAGCCTTTAAACGGCTAGGTGAGATTTTTGCTCTATATGACCCTAGAGGTAATAGGTCAGTTCAATGTGGAGAAACTATGTAGAGGTAGATGCTGATTTGGGATAAAGATTTTGTTTCATGAATGATTTCAAATGGCCTGTCATCGGTGGTTCTAATAGCTGGGCCAGTGCCCCTGAGTGAAAGGAGCTGTGGATGAGATTCCTGCACTGCCCAAGGAGGTGAAGCATGGTGCCTTCCATGGATTCCTGCATTGCTCAGGAGGGTGAGTCACGTCACCCTCCATCTCCTTTGATGAGAGCTCTTTCTCTGTGCTCAGATGGAGGAGCAAGTTCTCAAACGAGTGCGGAGGAAGATTCGAAACAAAAAATCTGCTCAGGAGAGCCGCCGGAAGAAGAAGGTGTACGTGGGAGGCCTGGAGAGCAGGTGTGATGCCCTGCGGGGAAGACTAGTTGGCAGTGTTGGGAGGATTCAGGCCAGATATACACATCCCTGTTCTTCCCCTAGGGTCCTGAACTACACAGCCCAGAACCGAGAGCTGCAGAATAAAGTCCAGCTCCTGGAGGAACAAAATCTGTAAGCATCTGGCAATGGCACCCCCCCCCCCCGCCGCCTCCTCCTACCCCCTCACTGCTTCATGCTCTCTGTTCCCCATGGCGGGAAAACTCCCAGATGCAAGGTCTTTACTGGGGTCGATTTCCAGACTCCCTCTGTAATGGGGGAATAACGTACAAGTCACTGGTGAGAAATACCAAAAAAGGGGGCAATCCAGAAAACCACCCCCCAGGCAGGTGGCATCTGCTGGTAGGCAGGACTCTGGGCACTGGAGCCGGGCAGGGAAAGCACCTGGGGTGGGTGGGTGCTGGCAGGTGCAGAACATACGGAATGCCTGGTGAGCAGCTTGTGCATAGCTGAGAAGGCCAGGAAGAACCAGTGAAGATGAACACAGAGGCGCGTCAGCCCAGGGAGGGAGTTGTGGTTTTACTTTTTGCTTTTGTCTTAATGAGGAACTTAGGATATTTTGTCCACAGCAGAAAAAGTCATTTGGAATGCAAGCAGGAAGTCAAGCAGAATGCAAAGAGGACCCAGTGCACAGACAGAGGGAGTGGGCGTCCCAAGAGGGTGTCATTGGGGGTCTCAGGGTGCTGCTCATTGCTATCCCCTTTCTTTGTCTAGGTCCCTCCTGGATCAGCTGAGGAAACTCCAGGCCATGGTGATTGGGATATCAAACAAAAGCAGCAGCAGCAGCACCTGTGTGCTGGTGAGGACAGCGACAGGAGGGGAGTCTTTGCTCAGGGGCAGGCCCCAAGGAGCCCTCTCCTTGGGTGACCCTTCTTTGTTCTCCCTGGCTCCAGGTCCTGCTCTTCTCCTTTTGCCTCCTCCTGGTTCCAGCCATGTACTCCTTGGACAGCAGGGGGAGCCTGCCAGCTGCGCATGGAGGTAAGAGGCCCAGGGTGCCTTGAAGGTGTGGGCTAGGGAGTGGCGTGTCTGGCCCTTTAAGACTCTTGTCTCCTCAGTGTTGTCCCGGCAGCTCCGTGCCCTCCCCAGCGAGGACCCTCAGCAGCCAGACATGTGTGCCCCGCACTTGGAGGGAGCCAAGGACAGTACAGACCCATCGCTGGCTGGCTCAGACTATGTGCTCCAGGCCTCTGGCAACACTTCCTGCCTGCTGGACTACATGCCTCAGCCTCCTGGCACAGACTCTCCCCTGCAGGACCCCTGCCCAGGCCCCATCCTTGTCCTGCCAGCAAACAGCACCACAAACGAGGGACAGCTGCCCACTCACAGCCCCTCATCTGTCATCTTACAGGACAGATACTCAGGTTAGACATGAAGATGAGGGGGCATGCCTCTCGTCAGAAGCCAGTGGGTAGGGGTGGTGGGGGTCTTCCCTCATCTGGGTTCGGCAGAGGGCAGAGGGCTGGCCCCCAGTTCCTGTGTCCTGGGAGGAAGCCTGGAGGCTCAGACACAGCACACTTACTGGCCTTCTGGGTCTTTTATTGGTGTATCCATGTGTGTTTAACACCCCATGGATGGAGCTAGGGAAATCAGTGACATCCTAGAACATTTCATGCAGAGACGGAAAGGATGAAAAAAGAAATAAATAAGTGATTCTAATGCCTGGATGACCCCAACCCCTCTTCACTGGCACAGCTGGGTGGGGAGGAGGGAAGGAGTATGATTGTCCTGGTGGCTCAGGGCTGCAGGAGGGTTTGCAGGGGGAGGGGAGGAAAGGCCAGGCTGCAGGCTGGGCTTGTGAGCACTTCCCTCCCACACTTCCCAGGGTTCACTCTGGGCTCAGGTTTGCTAAGGCAGTTCCTTTGGTCCAGGTTTAGGCCCTTTGCTAGGTTCTCTGTCCTGTGCAGCTGTCTGCCTGGAGGTCTTTTTCTCTTGCTGTTGTTGCAGGGCCAGCTGCATGGCCCAGATGCTCAGGGGCCGCATATAGGCCAGCGAACGGAACACCTGCTGCTGGCAGTAGGCCTCTGGGGTCTGGAAGGCCAGGCCCAGGCGCTCCCACACGGTGCGGTAACAGCCTTCCGCTGTCCGGAAGCCCTCCCAAGTCAGGCCCTGTGGGGAGAGGTGGTGGTTACACTTGATACCCTCACCCACCCTGAAAAGCCATTTCAGCCAGACTGATTTACAGCAGGGTCTCTGCCCTCAAGGGAGCTCCTGGGGGAGGCAGATGTGACCACAGGCAGAAGGGGCTAGAAATACCAGGGAAGAGAAGCCTTACTATGGCATGCGGTTATGCCTCCAACAAATCTGGTGGCTGAAACAGCTTTCTGAGTGCAAGTACAGAGGGGGACAAGATGGGGAAAGGAGTGCGTTACCTCTTGGATCATGGTGGCTGCCAGCCCGTAGACCACACCCACCCAGACTTCATCAGACTGCACGCTGGATCTGTCGGGGACACCATGAGGCTGCATCCCATTCACAGCCCCCATAACTCCTCCTGCAAAGGCTTGCACGTTGAGTTCGAAGATGGTTTGGAGTGCACGGACCACATGTGGTGTGGGAAATACCTGAAGGGGCAAAGGGGGCAGGTTTTGGGGAGTAGGGGGGACATGGTCTCATAATTGCTTCCCATCTCCAAAGAAAACCCACTTTTCTGTCAACCTCCATTGAGTCTCCCTCACCTCAGTGTCTCCTTCTCCTAGGCCACAGGCCTTCAGGAACCACTGGCCAGCACACTGGTCAGACATGACACTACGGGACTGAGGCTGGGCACTGCTGTCATAGTTGTAATAGCGACCTGGAGTAGAAGGCGGCCCAAGTGAGGCTCCTGGGACCCCCTCTGTGGCCGTTAAGACTCCAGGGTCCCCATGCCCCGATGCCTGCCTCACTCACCATTCCACAGCAGTCTCTCATACGCTTCTTGGCCCCGGTGAAGGATGGAGGAGAACTTATCTTGCACGTCCTGAGCCCCACACAGTGCAGCCATTTGAACCATCACGGCCACGGCTGCCAGCCATAGCCCTCCACAGTAAGCACTGATCAGAGAGGCACACGTTTGAAGATCAGACTGGCGCCTCCAGCCACCCCCATGCAAATAAAAATGCAGAAACTGGGTGCCTAGACCCCCCTCCTCAGGCCTCCAAGAAACCTCTCCCTGCTTCCACCTGGGGCCGGTGGTGACCCATCCGTCGTAGGTCTGGTCTGCGTAGCCTCCATTCTCAATGAGTCCATCATGGTCCTTGTCAAATTTCATTTCAGACTCCATCACAGCCTAGAGAGGAACCAAGACACTGCAGACCTAGGTACTATAGGATGGATGGTAGGCGACTGGCCTCTTCCCCCAGTACCAGCTGTGCCCCAGCACAGCTACTGCCCACTGTGCAGGCGACCCTTACCAGACACACAGGCCACATGTCCTTCAGGAAGGCTTGGTCACCCGTCAGGTAATAGTCCCGATAAACCTGCAGCACAAACTTCAGGTTCAGGTCCTTCCAGTCAGCAGTGTCATGGATCAAGTATGCGTTGATCCGGAGCCACGGCTCATCGTCTGTGGGAGAGGAGGGGACCTGATCTGTTTGCATTGGTGGATAGGGTGGCGGGTGTGCCAAGTGAGGAAGGGAAGCTGGACTCGTACCTGGGTCCCCAATATCATGGGGGATGACATTCTTCCTTTTCACAGGTCCCATCTCCCCACTCATCAGGTATCGTCGCCGAGTCAAGTCCTCCTTCAGGGTGGCCAGAGCTGGGGGAACAATGTACAAGTGTGGTGGGGCGGGGCAAGCAGAGACTGAACAGGCTCAGGGCAGGATATGGGGCCATGGGTGTGACCCCACAAGGCAGCGAGTTAGCAGGATATAGATATATTGGGGGCAGGAGAGGAAGGGGAAGAAGAGTCTGGAACCACAGGTTCAGGGAACTAAGAGGGCAGAGGCAGCATGAAAGGGATCCTCACCCATGTCATACTGTAGGCTGAGCTCGAGTTTAGGCCAGAGCATGATGAGGGCAAAGGAAGCATAGAAGTGGACATCATATGTGTTGTACATGCGGTACTCCTGGCCTGGAGGAATGAGGGGGACACAGTGATGTCATAATTCCTGCTTCCCTTTTCCACTCCCAACTTAGCTTGTCATCAGGAGGTGGAGGAGGGACACTGACATTTACCCCTCATCCCAGCTCACTGTGTCTTGGAAGGCACCACCTGGCCTGCCGTGCCCAAGCCCACCCGCAGCCCATACCCTCGAGGTAGCCAAAGCGGCCGTAGTCACAGAGGATGGGGCGCAGCTGACTCATGTTGTCTCCCAACTCCTCCGGCAGGGAGTCCTCAGGAACCTCTAGCCACACCGTGCCTCCGTCAGCCACGAAGTACAGTTCATTGAACAGCGCAGATTTGTACCAGGCCGGCAAGGACCTGGGGAGGTGGGCAGAGGGAACCATTCAGCAGATGTTGGCCACCCAAGATGGGACTCAGGGTGTTCACAGAGTGGGGACAGGAATCCCAGCATGACTCTGCTGACTTCTGTGGGCAGAGTCCCATGTGGATGTGGGCATGTGGGAGAGAGGCACAGCTGGATCCTACAGACCTGTCTTCCAGTACTGGGCTCTGCCACGCGGAGATCCTGTCTTCCCAATCTGCATATCGGCACAGTGCATAATGGCTCAGGGCAGGTGCTGCGTCACCAGCTGCGCCAAAGAACCGTGTGTACCGCCTGGGGCAGAAACAAAGAGGAGGTGGAGTGAAACACGGGCTCCAGGTCAAAGCCACTGTGCCTGGGAGCCTGTGCTTTTCCAGGTCCTCTCACCTGTGGTGGACTTGGCCCTTAGCTCCAAACATGATCTTGGGCATGTCCCAAGCCAGTGAAAACTCCAGGCGGCACTGGCCTCGTGGTGGTAGTTTGCTTGACACGCAGACAGCCCCCGCGATGCCCACTCCCTTCTGCGAAGGGGCACTTTGTCCTGAGGGGAGTACAAGAGAAATAAGCACAGGCATTCGCAGGAGCTCCAGGGCCAGGGACCTCCAACTTGGAAACAAGGCCTGTTTATGACCAAGGCCTCCCATGCCTGGTCCCAAACTGGGACAACCCTTCTCCCAACACCTCCCTGTCAGACCCCCCCATCACCAGAAGGGGAGTCCAGCTGTCCATCCTGGAGTAGATCCTGCCACACCTGCTGCCCAGTGCCGTCAGGGTCAAAGGTTGTGATGTGGGTGACCGTGGTATCTGCCTGTTAAGGAGCCAAAGGCTCTGTGAGGGCCAGCTGCACTAGTGTGCTGGGCTTTGGCAGCCCCCTCCACATCCCTGGGCACTCTCACCTCCACATTCCAGAGGGTGATGAGGGTGGGGACTTAAGAGTTGAAGGAATGCAGAGACCATGAACGGGGTGGAGGTGAATTTAGGGACTGGTCTGACAGGGGCTTTAGGGGCTGAGCGGACAGGGGCTCTTCCATTACCGTGAGGCGTGCAGCCACAGCCATGGTGTAGGGATTTGGTGGAGTTGGGTGGTGCAGCAGCAGCCCCTGCACAGTCTCCCCGTCTCGCTCTAGCCTGAAGGGCTCATTCCACAAACCCCCTGTGGCGTCATCTCCACCCCCTAGTCCGTTGCGCATGGAAAACATGATGGACACATCCAAAGCTTCATCCCCTTCATTTTGCACGTCCCACACAAACACTCCTACAGGCAGGCAGCTGTCCTGGGGGCAAAAGATTGGACTTAGTGGTTCTAGAGAGGGCCTGCCAGATCCCACTCCCCAGATTGGGCCCTGGGCACAGAGGACCTGATTCAAACACACTCTAGTGTTCTCTCTCTGCTGTCGTCGCCTGCATCTCCCTGTTTCCTTGCTGGAGACACGAATGCCTGACGGTGAGGTCAGTGTGATGCTTATGCCTGCAACCCCTCTCTTGCACAGGTGAGGGAGTTTGCAGCAAAGGCAGATCTCGGGGGTGGGGTGGGAGTGGGGACAGGCATTGGGGAGATGGATGGGGAGCCTCACCTTGTAGTCATGGGGCAAGATGGGTGTGATCTGGCGGCAGGTGAGGGTGACATTCTGGCCAGGAAGCTGATAGACGGTCCAAGCGCGGGGATAGAGGGCATGGTAGAAAGCAAAGTACCCACACAGGCCCCAGTTCCAGTTACGTAGGACGCTTGGGCGCTCCAGTGACAGGACTTGCTGGTATACAGTCTGTCCTCTCCGACGCAAGCACACTGTGAACTTACGAGACAGGTGAGGTTAGGGTATGCCACGGGTACCACATCAGCCTCCCTCTCCTCCTCCCCCCATGGGATTCTTACAGTCTTGGATTGTCCCCCAGGCCTTCCCCACAAGCCCAAATCCTTCTGCCTCCCCTCCAGCTCTCTCCTCAACCATCTTCCTTTCCCCTCTCCACTGCAATGATCTCTGGGGCCCTAATCTACATGATCTCTGCTGATTCTCTCTGCTCCTTCTTATCTGGGTAGTACAGTGATCTTTGTTACAGACAAATCAAGATAGGTCAGTCCCTGCTCATGTTTCAGTAACTCCCATGACCCTCAAGTTAAAGTCTAAACTCTTAACCTTTCAAAAGCCTTCTTGACCTGGCCTCTCCCTGCCTAGCACATTTATTCCCTTTTTAAGCACGTGCATTCTGGTCCTATGAAGCACTCAGCTCCTTGGGCACGGTACACCACGTTTTTTCCTCCATAGCACAGCTTATGCATCCTCTCCATGTGGCAAAACTGCTTGTCCTTCAAGGTCTAGGTCAGATGCTAACTCCTTTTCCTCCAGCAGGGAGTCATTCTAGTGTCCCCTGTCCATGTTGGCCAGCCTTGGCACATTATGTCATAATGTGCCTGCTTACTGTTCTGCTTCTCTGCCTGTTCTGTGTGTTCCTCGGAGAGGAGGGAGCCTCTCCAGGTCCCCAGTTTCTAGTGGACCTAACCGTTCTCTGTCTTGGTGCTGACTGGTGCTGCAGTGTCCATTCACTCCCAGTTCAGCTTCCCCAGTGGAAATGGAAGCTGCTGGGGGAGCAGAGGCTCTGAGAAATCAATGTCTCTTCCAATGGTGCAAACTTTTGATTATTTTTATTGCACAAGGAGACTTTTAATGTTGTTGGACTAGTGCAGGATTGTTAAGATCATAGAGAGAACTGGCTCTGAAGCCTAGGCTTTCCGATCAGCAACCCTGTGACCTTGGACATGTGACTAAACTGCATGGCGTTTTACTTCCTCATGTGTAAAATGAGCATGACCATGCTACACATCTCATAAGGCTGTTTTTCATACCGACTACACGAGAAGCCCAGCATTGCGCCTAGCCACTAGAAGCATGCAGTAATTAACTGGAGAGTCACTATTCCAGAAGGCATTGCCCTCAGGATATCTAAGGGATGAGGCAGAGAGGGATTCAGGGGCACCGAGCAGGACCAGTAAGCCAGAGTTGGGGAGGGCATTATCATTAATGGGTCTTGACATCTGCCATTCATTTCTCCTTTGAAGATGAGCCCTCAGCTAGGAAGTACTGGGAAGACAACTCAAAAAGGAGGTCATTAGGGAGACAGTACAAAAGGCCAGACAGCTCTGGCAAGAATGTCTCAGAACAAGGTATAAAACCCAGAGATCTGAGCCCAGGCAGAGGAGGCTTTTTGGGCCCTAAGCCAGAGAGACCTAAGACCAGAGGGGCATCAGCAGCAGCAGGGAGCTGACCTCAGCTGAAGATTTACAAGGAGGTTGTGATGGACAGTTCCACTGTGCATCTTTGATTCCCATGTCTAGACTCTCTAGGCCTACCACCTGTCCCTCCCGCCAAGTGAGGTGACCTTTGACTCCTCTGCTCTCTCGGTGGTCGGGTTCTGGCTCTGCTGCAGTGTTAAGGGGGGCAGAAGGCATTTACTGGAGATGCCAGGGCCCTTGACTCTTTCCAGGAATGTGTGCTATGTGTGTCTCATGTCTCTAGAAAGCCCTGGCCTAGGGCTGGGCATGCAGAGAACATCTGCACAGTACTGACCGGATTGAATCTATATCTATACCCACTGGTCACATGCTACACTGTCCTCCACCTCTAGGCTCTTACTTGGTCGGCGATGACTGTCCGGTGCTGGTACATTCCAGGGTCAAGCTGCCAACGGCAGAACTGACCTCTCCATCCACGGGTGATCGTGCCGCCCCCAATGCCGCCCAAGGGGCAACCTACAGGGACAATCAGGATGATCAGTGGCATGTGGGGAAAGGAAAACAAGCCCCTTTCTTACCCTCTTAATGACGGCTTCCTCTGAAAACCTTGGGAACAGAGGAGTGGGGCTCTCTGCGTAAACAGGAAGCTCCTTTGCCACACTCATGGCAGAGCTGGAGTTTGGGCTGGGACGAGGCTCACCATAGATCTGTCTCAGAGGTATGCAATTGAACATGTCGATGAAAGGCATTTTCTTTTCCACCTGAGTCTTCTGGTACCACCACTTCAAGTACCTAGGAGCAAGCGGCAGCATGATGGGGAGGGGCAGGGTCCGCAGGGGCTGTGGGTACCCACCTCTCTCTGTACACCCAGTGTTGGACCTTGCAAGGATTAGTCACTTTGGCTTCCAAACCTCTCTTGTTGATTTCTTTGCAGGTCAAAGTCTTCCCAGTAGCCCAGCTCCCTTCACTTCTCCTCTTTGTTCTTGGAGGAGACTTTCTGATCTTTCCTCACCCCTCCTAACTCCACTGCCAGGTGCATTTGTCTGTGGCGTTCAAAGGGCCAGTTACGGGTCTCCTGGCCTCCGCCCTTAACCCCTAACCTCCGAACCAGCCTAGGCTGCCAAGGATTATCATTTCCTTAATATGATTATTTTTCTTCCTGACTATGAAAGGTGAACATTTGGAGAATATATTATGTAGGAGGGGATTTAAAAGAAAAAGTCATCCCACCCATATTTAACCAGAGTTTATTTACATTTTGGTTACTTCCTCTGAAGTCCTTTTTCTTTCTTTTTTTAAAATCAGCATTAAACTAAGTTTTCTGAATTTGCTGTCTCATAATATCCCAGTAAACTCCCAACATTTTCCTGGTCTCAGCAGAGGAAACAGTGCCTGACATCTGACCTGGACTGTATTTGAATTTTTATCTCCTACACACTCTCACCAAACAAACCCGTCCCTAAACAACTCCTGTCCTGCAGGGCTCTTGCCCACTCTTCTCCCTGTCCAACCACCCACCACCACATGTAATGAGGAACTGGATATGTATGCCCTTGAGCTTTGGTTTCCTCAACGACAAGATAGGGAGACCTACTGCCCTAGCCATCTCTTGCAATGGTCCAAAGAGCAAGTGACTACACGGAGATAAGAATGCCATCAAGTGCAGTGTTTGCGGCAGCACAGTTATTGCTTGCCTGCACACTATCTAAATTCCTAATCCCACACTGCCTTGTTATTTTAGTGCTGCTCATGTGAGTCTGACATATTTTTAAGTGCCCTGGGGAAAGGGACAGTGACAAAGACTAGTTGGTGTATGACCCGCATCTCTAATAAGCATAAGGCAGGACCCATGGTCTGCAGTCCATAAATGTTTGCTGAAGTTACAAATAAATGAATGAATATAAAATGGAGTATGTGTGGGGCCAGGGCCAGGGGAAGACAAACCAGAGCACAGGAAGGGAAAATGTAATTTAAAAATAGGGCTAGCATATTCTGGGAGTGAGGGAGAGGGAGGGAACATGAAGGATGAGACAGGGACAAGGCAGAAGAGCTTCTGCCAGCTCAGAGCAAAGTAGAGAAACCAGAGGCCAGGTAGGCCTGGCAGAGGGAAGGCATGCACCTGGGATTTAGGACACCCAGGGAGAAGCGAGATAAGCAGACAGGAAGAAGGGAGAACTGTCCAGAGTCCTTCCTTGTCTCACTTCTGTTTTCTCAATGCAGACCCTGTTCCAAAAGTCCTGTGTCTGTGACCATACTTTATTCTGGCATGGTGAGCTGGGGGCTAAGTACAACTGCAAGCCTTTGTGATTAATGTTTAGGGGCTCAAGGGGCTAGGATACCTGCCTGTTCCTGACCTCATTGTCCCTACCACATGCAACCCACTCTGCTGCTCTTAGAACCTTGTGTCTTACTCTGATACAAAGAGTTGTGGGCTCAGCGCCTGAGTCAGTCTCCAAAGCAGCTTGGAGGGCTGACAGTCTTGTCCAGTCTAGGCCACCCACACAGGCACTAGCAAGGGAGCCAGAAGTACAAGCTGCACTGGGCTCTTGCCGCTGGCCAGGGCTGGGGGTTAGGAATGTGGCCTCCCCACCACAGTCTCACAGTTCTGACAAGGGAAAAGGCAGGTTCCCTCGCTTACATAGAAGTGGTCAGAGCCCAACCTCCCAGCCTTCATGCTTCCCTCCCCAGCTCCATGTTTACTGTGTGCACTGACTCAGGATGACCTCAGGGCAATGATGCTGCTGTCTCTTCACATCCACCTGTTCCTGTTCACAGGTATGGCTCCGCATGGCTAGTCTCTCAACTAGTGGGGGGCCAGATGGGTCCTACAACCCAGAGTAAGTTCTGATGTCTGTGTGTGTGTATCCTTTGGGAGGCAGGGGAGAGGAAGTTTTGGAAAACCACCAGCCCTTCCCTGACTGGCTACAGTTACAGCAAGAGGAAAGAAAAAGAGTTGTGCTTCAATTGGAACACCATGTGCCTAAATGAGGCAGAGAAAATGCCCTCAGCTGCAGGAGGGTAGGCCTGCGAGGCTGTTTCTCCCCTCAGATAAAACATTGTGTCTTCCAGAGCAGCCAGGCTAGCCTATTCCACTTGGCTACAAAGTGCAGCTGATCCCAGCAGGAAGTCTTGAGGGGGAAAAAAGGGAGGGAGGGTTGAGACAGAGGCCCAGGGATGAGCCCGCCTGCCTTCTCAGTCTTTCCCCACTTCTGCTGACAGGTTTGAGCAGGAACAAGTGAAGCCAAGAGCACTGTAGGGTTTAGGATGTACTCACCTCAAGCCCATGCCCAAATGCTTTATCAAATTCTTTAGGGAGACGTGGTTAACTTGAAAGGGTTTCCTCTTCTCTGTAAACTCATGAGCCAGGCAGATGCGCCAGCCAAAGGGAGGTACCTGGTAGCCCCTAGCATTACCCTCATAGGAGGCCATCAGCTGCCCAGAGTCCTCAGGATTACAGCCGCCTGGCTCCGTGGGGGATCGACTGGCCTCAGGGCTCCCGCAGTCCGTAATTGGCACAGCGTCCGTGCCTCCAGCATCTTCGGGACAATGCACCTGCAAGTCTCTTTTGGCACAGCTGATCTGCTCCGATGCTGGGACTCCAGTTCCCATGTTCCTTGGATGCTGGGTCTCCACGACCAGGACGGTCCCAGGCCCCGCACCCTCCCAAAGTGCCTGGCCGCTAAATCCAGACGCGGGCGCCCGTGGCAGTTAGGTGCCGTCCCGGGGGGGTGCCGGACGTTGGGGAACGCGGTGGTGAGCTAGTGTCTCCGTGGGGTCAGCGAGCTCCGGCTGCTGCTGCGGCGGCGACAGCAATGAAGCCGCTTCTGGCTGCCGTGCGGCGGTATCTCTAAGTCCTGGGCGGGAAGGGTCGGGCCTCGTCGTCATTGGGTCGTGGGGATTAGCTCGCCCGGCCAAAGGGCGACTGGGCCCTCCGAGTGGGGAGGAGCCGCAGGACCGGCCTGCCAGGCGCCGCCCCCGGGACCGGCCCGCCTGGCTCCGCCCCGGGAGCGGCCCGGGCGCTCGCTGCAGCCTCCGCCAGCTCTCCCTGCCGCGGCACCAGGGCTTGCCTAGAGCCGGACACCAGGTCCCGCCAAGCAGGTGTCGGGGCAGCACCCTCCTCCAGGTGTCAGTGCGTGGGAAGGTGACCCACGGGGCCAGGGCCAGCAGAGCCCTTTCCGGTCCGGCCTGCAGGGCACTTCCGGCCGGAAGGGGTTCCTTGTAGGCTGGAGGGTGGAAGGGAACCGAAGGGAAGTCCCGCCTTTGCCGCACCACCGACGCCGCGGACGCTGTCGTGCACCTGGCCTGGTCCTGGAGGACCAGGGCAGGTGAGTAAGGGCCTCGGTGAGCTGAGACCTCCAGTGTCCATCGCGCCAGATGGCTGAGGGTCGTGATCTCGGACTGGGAGATGGAATCCTGAGGCAAAGGGGAACAGCTTGGGATTCAGGGGGCCAGAGACGGGGGTGGGGGGATGGGGGGGTGTAGGGGAAATAGCAGGGTACCGAGGGGTGGGGGTCTGGAACCCAGAAAGATACCCACCCCCTAGGGAGTTCTGAATCAAGCAACAGCCCTGTCTGCCTGCTCCCTCCTCAAGTCCGTCTGCTCCTCCAGCCCCAAGCGAGGCCTTTAGCAGCCCTTATTCGTTGGTGTTTGCTGCAGTCCCTCTTCCTCCCTCGTTGCTGACTTCCGACCCCTCTTTTCCTTCTAGATCTGATTGCGGAGCTGCCATGATTGAAGTGGTAGCCGAGCTGAGCCGGGGTCCTGTGTTTCTGGCTGGGGAGGTGCTTGAGTGTGTGGTGACAGTCACCAACCCCCTGCCCCCGACAGCCACTTCAGCATCCAGGTAGGGATGCTGGTACTGGGGGATGGAAGGGGAGAGAAGGAAGCCTGGTGTCTGGTGCCTAAGCCAGAGCTTGAGGAGCCTTGGAGCTACACCATCACTTCCTGCCTCTATGAGCTGTTTCATAGGAGCTGGCAGTGACAGAGTGCTCCTTTCTCAGTCTGTGCCCTTCCCTCTCTCCATTGGTACCCACAGTGCACTTGTCTTCATTCGGTGTCTCGTCTTTGGTGTTGGGATCACTAGCACAGCCATGCAACCTTATTGGTTGTGAGTTTGGAAATGCATTTGTTAGGAGCCACCCTTTGATGGCTTCTTCTTTGTCTTTTTCTCACAGTGAGGCTCTGGCATGGGCCAGTGCCCAGATCCACTGCCAGTTACATGCCAGTGAGAGTCGAGTAGCCCTGCCTCCCCCTGACTCCAATCAGCCAGATGTGCAGCCTGACAGCCAGACCGTGTTTCTGCCACATCGAGGTTGGGCATGGGGTGGGGACAGTTTTCTTGGGAAGAGGGTAACATGGTTGTCTCCTGGGGTGAAGTTCTTATGCAGTGTGTCACATCAATAGTGTGTGTCGAGGGAAAGTAACGATTATTTTCAGGGCCTGTATTCCCACTTCCCCATGAGAAAGGGGGCTGATGACCGTCCACAGCCTCTCCTCAATGTGTGTGCCCCAGCAAGGCTGCTGATTTCTGTCTACTTCCCCTTTTCTTAGGTGAAAGAGGTCAGTGTATTCTTTCTACTCCACCAAAAATTCTGTTCTGTGACCTGAGGCTGGACCCTGGGGAGTCCAAATCATGTGAGTGACCATACTCGTGCCTCATGGCCTGTCACGCCTCCTGGAGGGAGGACTCTGGCCGCCCCCTAGCTGTCCTGACTCCTGCTTCCCAACCAGACTCCTACAGTGAAGCACTGCCCATAGACGGACCACCCTCCTTTCGAGGTCAGTCAGTCAAGTATGTCTACAAGCTGACCATTGGCTGCCAGCGCGTCAACTCGCCCATCACTTTGCTCAGGGTCCCTTTGAGGGTTCTTGTGCTTACTGGTGAGTAAAGGGCCCTGGAGTTAAGGGGTAGAACCTTATCCAAGCACAAGTCATCTCGGGGGCTACAAGAGAGGGATCAAAGGGGTGTGTCCAGCTCTCAGTGAGGGTCCTGGGAGACCAGGAGAGAATGGTTGTGGAGCAGAACAGCTTGATATGTCAACCCCAGGCCTGGCTTGCTTACCTACAGCCCTCTAAAGTTGGAGCCTAGAACCCCAGTCCTCCAGGCATCTCTTCTCTGCTAGCATCGCTTCCCCCGATTCTTCCCATAGGCCTGCAAGATGTCTGGTTTCCCCAGGATGAGGCTGTAGCCCCATCCAGTCCGTTCTTGGAAGAGGACGAAGGAGGGAAGAAGGATTCATGGCTGACCGAGCTTGCCGGGGAGCGCCTTATGGCTACCACATCCTGCCGCAGCCTCCGTGAGGATCCTTCCAGAATTGCCCCAACCCACCTTCCCTCATAGTGGGCCTGTCTCAGAGACAGGTTTTAAGTGCCATCTGTGACTTCAGAAGGTTCATGGAAAATTTATGTTATACCTCATCCCTGATTATAAAAAGAGGCTCCAACTTTGGGCTTCGGATGCCTGCCCCTAGAGATTCCCCAGTGTCAACACTTAGGTTTACTGTGTCCCATTGTCCCCAGATCTGTACAATATCAGTGATGGCCAAGGGAAGGTTGGGACATTTGGCATCTTCAAATCTGTATACAGACTCGGTGAGGACGTGGTGGGGACCTTGAACTTAGGAGAAGGAACCGTAGCTTGTTTACAGGTGAGACGGGTAGAGGGACTAGTGGGCTAGGGTGGAAGGAGGAGGGCCTGTATAAAGGTGGGGTGGGATGCAGAAGTGGGCCATGGGGGCTTCCAGAGGCCCTTGGGTAAAACAGCTAGTGGGTGGGCCTCCCTCTCACCTGGTCAGCGCTTCCGCACGCCTGTGAGCATGTGTCTTTCTTTTCGCTTTCAGTTTTCCGTGAGCTTACAGACTGAGGAGCGTGTTCAGCCCGAGTACCAGCGGCGCCGGGGGGCAGGAGGTGTCCCCTCTGTGTCCCATGTAACTCACGCGCGCCACCAGGAGTCCTGCCTGCACACCACCAGGACCAGCTTCTCCCTCCCAATCCCTCTCAGCTGCACCCCAGGCTTCTGCACAGCCATCGGTGAGACCCGGATGGTGCTTCGAGGTGGGGCTGTGGCAGGGAGTATCTGCTAGGCAGAAAGCAGTGGGCCTCAATTGCTCACATACACCTAGGGATACTCATGTCCAACATGGAGCCTAGGCTGCTTCCTCACTATTGCTGCTTCTTGGATCAGATGTTCTCACCTGTAAGCACTTTCTAGAACTCCTCCATCCCCACCTGCTGGCACCCCTCTGATGCAGTTGGTGATTGCCCAGCAGCTCAACCTCCAGCTACCCAGTCTTCACCTGTCCCACTTACGGATCCCAAGATTCTTGACCCCACTATCCTCACTGCCCGTCTCTGGCTAACAAATCAAAAAGATTTTTAAAAAACTATTTATTTGAAAAAAAAAAACCAAACTGTCTGATTTGGTTCATTGTTCAAATGCCTAAAACAGCCAAGGTTGGGCCAGGCCAAAGCCTGCAGCTGGGAACTCTCTGCTGATCTCCTGTGTGGGGACAGGGACCCAGCAACTGGAGCCATCATCTGCAGCTTCCCAGAAGCTGGAATCAGGAATAGAGCCTCGACTTGAGTCTAGGTGCTTCACTATGGGATGCACATTTCCCAAGTGATGTGAAACATCTGCTCTGATATCCTAGACTGCTTTGAAAACAAAACAATAAAACCACCTTGATCCTAGCTCTCTGCCCCATGATATCTGTCTTCTGAATACAGGTTTTGTTTTTTTTTTTTCTTCTCATTCACTAACCACATCCTGTCATTGATTTGTACTCTTGCTTGTCTCTAATACCTTTTTATCTTTGTCTCCCACAGTGTCTCTGAAGTGGAGATTGCATTTTGAATTTGTAACCTCCCGAGAACCTGGCTTGGTGCTCCTGCCCCCCATGGAACAGCCTGAGCCTGCTACCTGGACAGGTCCTGAGCAAGTGCCTGTGGACACTTTCAGCTGGGACCTCCCCATCAAGGTGCTGCCTACAAGCCCCACCCTGGCCTCGTATGCTGCCCCAGGCCCCAGCACCAGCACCATAACCATCTGAAACTGTCCCCTTGTCTTCCTTGGCAGCAGCTTCTTCAGGATGCTAAGAAACTTAATCCCTCGACTGTAGGAGTAGGACCCACTCTTTCCACCTGGGGGACCAGTGGCACAGATGAGAGGCAGGCCTTCAGCTGTAGCATTAATTTATTGACTCAGAAATAAACTGGCAGCTGTTAGTGGTTTCCCTGGAAGTGGCAGCAGAAGTCAGCAGTCAGCAGGGGCGGGGGACTTCTGTGGAGCTTAGCCAGCCTGGGGAGCAGCAGCCCCAGGAACAGGCGTGTTGGCTGAGCCCCACTCCAAGTCGGGCCCTCTCCCTTTACAGGGCAACTGAGGGTCAGATTTTTGCACCAGGGAGAACTGACAGGTTCCAGGTTCCTGGCGAACCTCGCATTCAGCAGGGAAGTCAATGGGATGCTGGGATCTGGGGAACCAAGAGTGGGGAAGGAGTCAGCACAGCCAAAGGCCATCCCTATCCACCCTGTACCACATGCCTGCTCCCAGCCCTCCTCACTTCCTCTCCTTCAGTGTCCTCCCCCCTCCCCAGGTCCCCTGAACTTACACCTACCACATAGGGACATTATGGTTCATAGTAAGAGTGTCTTCCCTCTGGCTCCACCCCAACCTCCCTCACTTTGTAGCCTGCAGCCTTACTGAAAGAGTGACAACACTCTGGGAACTACCTTCAGGCCCAGGTAGTCTCAACCCATTCCTTGATCATTCTCACTCTCAGGCAACCTGGTCACTCCCATCTCTCACACAGAAGCATCCCCTCTCCACCCAGCCACCTTTGGTCACTCACGTGTCACAGCAGCCCACGCCAACCGGGTGCAGACAGGTGCAGTGGAAACAGTCCTTGCGGAGCCAGGACTCGCCCAGGGTGAAGTACTTGCCTTCATACTGACAAGGGGCTGGGGAAGAACAGAAAATGGTGGTGAGGGGCTGGAACACTGTTGTGCACTCTCCCCCAGCTTAGTCTGTCTGTCCTGGATCACAGCTGGGAGGGAGTCTGGGTGTTTGACACGGGATCATCTCAGCCACTGCCCCACTCCTGGTAGCCCTCAGCCTCTGGCAGTGTCTCTCAACCCACTTTACCTTGAGCTTGGAAGTAGCACTTGCTGTGCACTCCTTGGTGCTGGAGGAGTAGAGACATCACCAAGCAGAGAATCCTCCAGCCTCCCAGGATCCCTTTGGCCTGCCCAGCCCACAGCATCCTTAAGGCCAGTCGTGCAGCACCCGTCGGCTCGGACCCTTCTCTGCTTCCGTGCAGGTTGCTCTGGTCTCTCGCCTTGAGCCTTGGTGACCGTCTTTGTCCCTTGGGCTTTGGGCTCAGACCATCTCCTTGCCCTCTGTCTCATAGGCTGGAGATGTTTATAAAGTAAGGACCCTGGCCCCCTGCTGAGTGGAGCTGGAAAATCTGTAACTCCGTTTCCTGAGGTGAGGGCATGAAAACAAGAGGTCCAGCTTTAACAAGCTGTGAGAGCTGATTCATGCCGGCACAGCTTGCAGGAGGGAGGTGGCCCAGGAAGGGGCACTGGACCTTCCCCAGCAAGGGTTGAGGGAGGAGTGAGGGGCCCAGGTGGTCCTCAGATCTGCCCCAGACCTGGAGAGAAGGAAGCATTCCACCATCTGCACTTCCCCCAACTTCCCTCCTCTCCCCCCACATGGCGCTGCCACCACCAAGGGTGTGTAGGCTGGGATCCCTGCCTGAACCGGAGGGAGGCATTTCCTGGGGATGGCTAATCCAGTGCCCCAGCCAAACCGGGGAGCTGTGGCAGGGTGCGACAGCCAGAGGCTCCAGGAGAGCGGGCAGGCACCTGGAGTGCAGAATGCATTGCCCTTAGCTCCTGGTGTGGGGTTCACCTCCCCCACAACCTATGTTTCCCAGCAACTAGGCTGCTCCTGGGATAGCAGAGGAAGGGGCTGTTTTCCGCAGGCATCCATCACCTGCACAGAGATGACATAGACTGTACCTGGAGTCACTTTTTATCCTTTTGAAGAGGAGCATTTCTGATGGCCTCATGGTGGCAGTGGGGGGTGGCAGTCCATGCTCATGGAGGCTCTCGGGGAGGGCATGAGGTTTTAGGAACTGATTCTCTGATATCTGCCTTGGAGTTTCCCGCAGGTCCTGTTGGACCCAGAATGGGCTGCAGAACAGGCTCCTGGGATTCTCATCCTGACTCCATTTGCCAGCTATGTGACCTTAGGCAAGTTCCCGAACATCTCCCAACCTGTTTCCTCAGCTATAAATGGGGGGATGGTAATGCCAGCTCAGAGAGTTGTATAAACACACACGACATGCTTAGCTCCTTGTCCAGCATGTAGAACCCTCAGGAAGTACCAGCTACTGTGATTGGTGCTTGAAGCTCAGCGGGTTTGTAGGCAACCCTGGAAGTTCTGGGTAACTTTCAGCTGGGGATTGTTCTCTCCTGACAGTCTTCTGTGTCCTTGTCATCCCGCTCCCTCTTGGGAAGAACTGGTGCCTCCAGGAGCATTTTTGGCTTCATGTCCTGTGTTGAAGCCTGAATGTACTGTTTGAGAAATAGTGTTGCTGGTCAACCTTCATGCCCCAGCTCAGAGCTCTTGCCCCATGCCCTGGAGAGAGCTGCCATGTTCTCATCAGGCTTCCAGCTAACCTCACAGTTCCTGCTTTTTCTCATTAGGATTCCAACCCTGTCCCCACTTGTGTGAGCTGTCAAGTTCACAGGATGGCTGAAGCTAGCTATCTTTGATAACTACAGTCCCTGTTCAAACTGCCTGCCTTTCACTTTCACACGTTAAAGACCTGTGTTTCAGCTCAGTCTTGTACTCCAAGACTCACTCACTGCTTGTGACCCTGTATACGAGTGAGCAGCCTCTGACTGACTTTCAGAGGGCTGCCCAGCTTGTTTACTTCCCCGGAACAACCATGTATCTCAGGCTGCATAGCTGGCCTCTTCTAAGAAGTCAGCTTTAAGGGGTGGAAATCAGATTATACCAACATGCTTGGCCTTGGCTGATCTGATACCCTTTCCAGCTTAGTGGAGTGCCAGAAAGGGAGAACTCAGGGCTGCAGCAGCAAGTTGCAAGGTAGACCTGGGTGCCGGAGGCAGGGCCTGGGACAGCTCTCAGCAGTAGCAGATGTGTTGGAAGGCCTGTCTAGCAACAGGGCTCAGAAATGCAGTCAGTGGTCAGTAGTTTTGTCACTGTCTGTGTGTGTTGCTTGAATTGTTGGCACCTGCCTGCTGATAACACAGGAGGCTGAGTCATAGGCTACCTTCTGCTTATACAACCTAGAGCTAACTGGATGGCCTTGCTGGTGGTGAAGGGGGCCCAGTGGGGTTGGTATCTGCATAGTAAGGGGACTAAGATGAGGGCTCCTTGCCTGGGATGAAGTTGGGATAGGTCTAAGGGCCATTTCCAAAGAGGCCAGGACAAGTCAGGGATCCTCTCCCAGAAGTTGGGTGAGGTGCTGGTTCTACCAGTATGCATGCCTGTGAGGGTGATGGGTGAGCCGGGAAGGGTAGAGGATGTCAGTGGTTAGGGCCCAGCCCTCCCAGAGTCTGGGGAGAGTGCTGTTTGGGGCACCAGTCATGAGGGGTGCAGCGATTGGCATGCGCTACCCTCGCAGGGACAAGGAAAACATCCGCCGGAGGCCTAGCTGGGCGAGACTCCAGCATTGCGGGCAGGTGTGCAGGGTGAGGAAGTGAGTACATTCCGGCCCCCCAGGCCGGCCCTCCGGTGAGTCACACCGACCCCTGCCTGCCTGCTGCCGGATAGGAGGGACTATTGGGACCGGGAGGGAGGGGGAGCCGGCAAGAACCAGGGGAAGCTTGTGGAAGGGGCAGAAAAGTGCTGAATGCATAGTTTGTAATAGAACTGAGTTAGGCAGGTAGAGAGAACTTGGAGGAGGGAACAAGGGGTCTGGGGCAGATGGGGAGTGGTGAGGTCCCTAGAGACCAGGTGATAGGAGAGGACCCGCTGTAAATGGGAGGGTGGAGTCAAGGCCTCTAAGGGTGGTGGAGGGATCTTGGATGCTTGGAAAACCTAGGAATTTGAGGATTTCTGGGAGTGGGAGCAGGGAGTGGGGGAAGCTTAAAAAGCATTGCTGTGCAATTCATGGAAATACTCCTATTTAGAAATTTAAAATACTTGACTATAAGCCATCAAGCAAGTATTTTAAGTATGTTGTTGCCTTTTTTTTTTTTAATAAAAAGTTGAATAAAAATGGAAAAGTTGGACTTGCTATTTGGTGTAAAACCCAAAGTGAGACTGCCAGGAAAGCATAGGTGGTCTAATCTATCCTGTCTATGGTCAAGTCTATGCTAATCCCCTCAGTCACCTGACAATTGTGTGGTGACCATGCCTCCAGTGTTGTGTGTCACTGGCATAGTGTTGCTTTGCCTCTTCCCCATCCTTGTTTTTAGCTTTTTTTTTTTTCACTTAGTCCTTTAACCTACTCTATGTATCTGGAACCAAATCAAAATTCCTTAGGATGGGGGTAGTGGGTTACAGTGTACATAGTGGCTCCCCATCTTCCACTGTAAGCAGGGTGTGTTCTGCAGGTGTGGATGGAACTATAAAGCTGGTGGAATGCAAAAGCCATCTTACAGCTGAGCTTGTTTCAACAACACAGCAATACAGTAGTGTGGTTTCTCTTCCAAAATTAGTTGTACTGTGGCATTTGGTACTTGTCTCGGAGACTAACACTCTGTCCAAAGCCCTAATCTGTGTTCCTTAGGGCCAGAGGCAATGGCAAGGATTAGGATTGTTAGACTTTATTTTAAAGATCCTTAAACAACTGTTGCCTTTGGTGCCAAATAAGGAAACTATAGGTCAGTTAATACTAATAAAAAGCAGCAGCAGTAGCTCCCACTTGGGGGTCCTGCCGCCATCTGCCTTGCTGCCCCAGCGTAGCCCTCTTGTGTCCCCCACGGCCTCTGCCTGCCTGCCCTGCTCTGCTGGGCATCTTCAGAGGAAAACTTCACACCGACTTCCCCTACTATAAATTCTCTCCCTCCCCTCATCTCTACACTTCTCTCTGCCAACACACACTGAATACTTCTTCACTGATTTTTTTTTTAAGCTCACAGCCCTTTTTGGCTTTTTCCCATGTTCAACACTCTTTTGTTAAACTCCTTTCCTTCCTTCTTTTTGTGGAAACCTTGGATTTTCCCAAAGGTCAGGCTTTGATCATCTATTTTGTATGGTCCTCTTCTGCCTGCCCTCCTTTCTAAACTGTTTACAAACTGAGGTTTTCCTTAAACTTTCTTCATTGTGATGAAATATTCTTCCTGTAGTGCAGTAGTAGATGTTTATGTTCCCATTATTTTGCCTCCAAAAAAAAAGAGAGAGGGAAAAAAAGGCTTCTGAAATGTACATCTATGTTAGTCTCTTAAGACAGTATTCTACATCTAGAAACATGATGTAGCCTTTATCAAGAAACCCATCAAGTGACAATTCAGACTTGATGTTGTGCTAGGTAACTATAAAATTTTTTTTTAAGATTTATTTTTTTTTATTGGAAAGTCAGATATACAGAGAGGAGGAGAGACAGAGAGGAAGGTATTTCATCTACTGATTCGCTCCCCAAGTGGCTGCAATGGCCGGCGCTGAGCCAATCCAGAGCCAGGAGCTTCTTCCAGGTCTCTCATATGGGTTCAGGGTCCTAAGGCTTTGGGCCATTCTCAGCTCCCAGACCACGAGCAGGGAGCTGGATGGGAAACAGGGCTGTCAGGTTACAAACTGGCACCCATGTGGGATGCCGGCGCATGCCAGGTAAGGACTTATAAGCCACTAGGCTACCATGCCAGGCCCCAATTTGTTTGTTTGTTTGTTCTAAACTCATTTATTTTTTATTGAAAAGGCAGAGCAGACTTATGGAGAGAAGGAAAGACAGAAAGATCTTCATCTTCTGGTTTATTATCCAAGTGGCTGCAATGGCTGGAACTGAGCCGATCAGGAGCTTCTTCCAAGTCTCCTATGCAGGTACAGGGTCCCATCCTGTATTGCTTTCCCAGGCTACAAGCAGGGAGTTGGACGGGAGTGGAGCAACCAGGACACAAACTGGTACTCATTTGCGATCTTTGCACTTGACAAGGTGATGATTTAGTCACTGAACCATTGTAGCAAGCCCTGTAAATCTTGTATTCCTGGTGCAAAACGTAATGTCTGTAAACAATAGATGCTATCACACGTGTGTACTTGATTGTTGTCATGTACAGACACACACACAGAAAATAGAACCATAAGCTAATGTGTGAATATGTACTTGCATATGTATATTCAATATGTTGCATTAAAATCAAGCCAGTTAAATATCGAGCTGGAAGATGATAGGTAAATTCACAGGATAAAAGTTTTTTTTTTTTTTAAGATTTATTTATTTATTGGAAAGTCAGATATACAGAGAGGAGGAGAGACAGAGAGGAAGATCTTCCATCCGGTAATTCACTCCCCAAGTGAGCGCAACGGCCGATGCTATGCCGATCCGAAGCCAGGAGCCAGGAACTTCTTCCTTGTCTCCCACACAGGTGTAGGGTCCCAAAGCTTTGGGCCATCCTTGATTGCTTTCCCAGGCCACAGGCAGGGAGCTGGATGGGAAGCGGGGCCACCGGGATTAGAACCATCGCCTATATGGGATCCCAGCACATTTAAGTCAAGGACTTTAGCTGCTAGGCCACTGCGCCGGGCCCACAGGATAAAAGTTTAACAGCATTCATCTTGCGTTCAAACTGGAGAAGGATGCGAGGAAAATCACTTCTATGTAGATGGAGAGACCCCCATCAAGGAGGATGCGTTGAGAATGGAGGAAGATAGGATGGGATGAAAGGCTTGCATCGAAGAAACATGAAGCTGGAATACTCAAACGTCTCAATGGTAGAAGATTGTAAATGTGGCTTAGGTTGTGGTACTGATTTCAACCATAGTCAACCCTCCATCACTAACCCCTATTGAACTTTGCTTACAAGGTTTTCTTTGCTGTTTTTTTCTGCTTACAAACATTTTTAGGAGTTTGTATGGTAGGGAAAACTGCCAATTTGC